TTTCTTTTAAAAAAAAAAAGATTTTTATTTATTTATGCATACAAGAACTGGGGTACAGGCCAGAGGTGCAGGGAGTGAGAGGATTCACCAGAGACAGAGTGGGGAACAGAACAGGCAGATCTACTAAAACACACTGCTGAAGGGAGCAGCAGGCGAGACAGAAGAGGTCTGCTGCTCCATGCAGGTCACCTCCCTGGCCAGGGATTGAACTTGTGCCACAGTGGCTGGCGATAGCTTGATAGCACTGAGACTTTAACCCCTGCACACCAGGAAGGCCCCACGCTCAGTTTCTTCACTTTCCTTCTTTCAAAGTTGAGGCAAAGTCCTGTAGGCTGCAGCAGAACAATGAAGTAATGAACATATTCAAGAGCCTTCCTGAGAAACTGTGCATGTCCTTTCCACTCCTTTTTGTTCTGGTACCTTGGTACAAACAGTCAACAATTAGTTCCAATAACTGTTTGACTCTCAGGAGACTTAGATTCTCAATAAACAGCATAGTCTCCACATCAGTTTTCCCAAGGTGAGCATGTGGTTAGTACTTGTTCTGGAAGCCTCCACCCATAGCAATGGATTAACATCCCCATCTCATAATGTTATTGTAAAAACCAAATAAAATAGAAACATTGTGTAAATTGACAACTGCTATGCAAATTTTAGGTTTTATTACTGTGACAACAAAACTACAAGCACCAGAGACGCATCTGACATGCTCGGCTTATAACTACCATGGGGTGCAGATCTTGAACAAGATTTACCTACGGAGATGGTGATGGTAGCAGATAGGATGCTTTTTCCTGCAAGTAACAGAAAGCTTAACCCAAGGATGCTTAAACATAACAGCAAGAAGCTCTGAGGTAGGGAAACTCCAGAGTTGGTTAATTCGGAGACTCAAATTTGTTACCAAGGACACAGATTTTTCTTTCTGTTCTGCCTACCTCAGCATGTTGCCCAGCGACCCTCAAGACCACCATCTTTATGCCTCAGTGTCCAGAGGTCTCAGCAAGTTTTCTTCCATGTTTGTTTTCATTGTCTAGGACTAGGTTGAACGCAAACCCCATAATGATTTGGGGCTGCAAGAGAAAATCACTTGTTTGGGATTGGATAATTTGCGATAAACCCCTCTAAATGGAGCAAGGACCACTTCAGCCCATGCCTATGGAAACTAGCTGCATGTTGGGTCGGCAGCCAGCGGTACTTGTTAGGGGGATGTAGTGAGGTAGCCTAGACCTTCAATTGTCCATCCACCAAACCAAACCTTATTTAAATAATTCATGTATGTTATTGAAGTGTTTTCTTGGGAATCAGTCTATTTTGAAGCTACATATCCTCCTTAGTTTGCTATTCCTCCTATAAAATTGGCGAATTTTTTCCTTCTTCTATAGACCTTGAAAATTTTTCCCTTCTCTGATTAAGGAAACAACAGCTCCCAGCAGCTAAATCATGGGGTGATCAGAGTATCCATGAAGAAGATTCAACTACAGAAAGCCTTAAGTATCACCATGGGTCATTTCCACGCTATTACATTGCCAAGTGGCTAAAGGCCCTGAGATTTTGGGCTCATTTCATCTTATCTGCTCATTAACCGACCAAAGTATACATTTCACATTTTGCCTACCAGGAATGGGAATGTTTCTGTAAATTAAAAACATTTTAAAATGAAAATTTAATCTTGCCAACCCACTGCTTTTAAAACCCTTCATTATCTCTTTGCCGGGGATAAAGTTCAGTTCTTAAATATGGACCATGTTTACCTCTGTAATCTCTTTTCTTACCATCTCTCTCTCTTGTCTCAGCTCCCATCCCCCCCTAGCCCCTTACTTTACACTTTGGCTTCATGAAATGGTCTATATTTCTAAGAACCTGTCTTACTTTACTAAGATCTCTGTTCACGGTACTTCCATTGCAAAACTTTTTCCTACTTCTTTGCCTACAGGACTTCCAGTCTATCCTTTGCTTAGTTTCTTATCCAGGAAAGCTTCCTTGACTCCCTTAGTCTGTACCCCCAAATGCTCCGAGTGACATCTCTATGGTGGCACTGATTATGCTCTACTGTAACTGTTCACTCATCTGTCTCCCCTTCGATGGTGGAGACAGCTTCCTGTAATCTAGCCTGAGCGTTGTTTGGAAAAACACAGTTACTAGATAAATGACTATTGAATGAAAAATAAATGAATGTGCTGTTAAAAGGGCACAGAAAGCACAGTTTTGCGTTCCCTCTCAGCTATGCCCTGACTCAGGTTCCTGGGCAGTGGTCTGCCCTAAGTTGTGTCCTGGTGCTCAGAGAAGCCATGGCAAAAGCACAATTAATTCTCCATTACCAGCTCTACCGATCGCCTGATTTTCCCTTGCAGCCCCCAAACCCTTATAGACTAGCTCTTCTTATTACTCAACCAACCACATTGCTCAATGTACACTAAGTAATACCTACATCTAAAGTTTACCTAAAGTCACATAATGACTTCTAAATGACCAAAAAAAAAACCCCAAAAAACCCTATCTAGATAAGTTAGGTTAAGCCAATTTCTGTTACACTACATCAAGTTCCACTAACAAACAAGCTAAAGACTTTCACATATGTTCTTACTGACTCCCCCCACTAACCTGGTACACTGAGAGGCATTTGCCATTCTCAGTTACAGAAGAAGAAGCTGGAGCTCACAAAGGTCAGAAACAGCTGCAATTTCCAAATAGGTCTGTTTCTCAATTTTAGATGTCAGTTCCAATATTCTATAATTGCATCAAGTTATAGAACTAAGAACAGTAAGCATACCTGTGCTAACAGCTATGAAAACATTTAAAAGGAAATCAGCAAAATGTCTAATAGTAAGTACTGGTTAAATAAATCATGATATATACATATGAGGATTATGAAGCAACCATTTAAAATCCTGCTGTAGAACATTTAATATGGAGGCATGTTCACACGAGATATTTGGTAGTGAAGGAAATGATCAAAATCTAGGTAAAAGTATGAGCCTAATTTATAATTTATTAACAGACATGTTTAGGAAAAGAATTAGGAAATTATACACAAAATGTAAACAAGGGCCTCCCTGGTGGCACAAGGGGCTAAGCACTGCACTATGAAGTTATCCGCAGCTTCTGCAGCAAGAGTTTGATCCCCGGTCAGCCAGGGAGCAACCCACATAGTGCAGCAGACCTCTCCTGTCTCGCCCACTGCTCCCCTCAGCAGTGTATTTCAGTCTGCCTGTTCTGTTGCCCACTCTGTCTCTGGTGAATCCTTTCACCCCCCCCCACATTTCTGGCCTGTACCCCAGCTCTTGTATGCATAAATAAATAAATCTTTTAAAAAATGTAAACAAGTCAGATTTTTTACCTCATTTTTGACCTTTTATCTAGTTTCCAACTTTTGAACAATGAATGCATAGTACATTGATGATCAAAAAGAAGTTACTTGAAAAAAAGATTGAAGCACAAAATATGTAAGTGACTGAACCTAGAAAACCCTGCAAACAAAGGTGTGTTTCTTCAGTCTCACCGCCTCAGTCCCCTGCCATCCTCTGAACTCACTCACATGCAAGTACACATTTACCAGCACTTAACCTCTGTCTGTTGCTTTGCTGTGGTGGCATGGATAGTATCAGCTGGAGAAAACTCAATCAGAAACTAAATGTTTCCAAATTTGATAGGGAAGGCTGTGGGCCACTGAACCCTGATGGCACTTGTCTATGGCAAACATACACATGCTCTTGTTATTTGAAATACAATTACTGGATTGCTACTAGGTTGTAGCTACTCTAAAAGTTAGAGCCAACAACTTCACCATTTTTGCATTTGTTGAGGCATGTAGCACAGCCCACTGAACATAATAGGTGCTCAATAAATAACTCTCCCATTGAATATAAGTGATCTACTAATAAATAAATTGATATATCAATTAATAGGTCAATTCATTTTTGAGTGTTCATAGGCTCCGGCAACTATGCTAGGTCCTGTGTTATCACAACAATAAAAATGAAGGTCAAGTGTCCTTACTTTCAAGTACTTCCAAGCTGATAGGAAGGCAAAGCTATTACACCTCAGCCAAATTATTGCTGAAGTGTGTCCTACTTATACAATGAAATAGAAATTAAAAAAACAGGAAATAGCATAGACTGGAACATAAAGCAATTCTAAAATGGGATCTGCTCCCTACCTAGAAACCACATGTTGAAGGTCCACCTGCACTATGTCCTCAACTCCCCTCAACCGACTCACACAGGTACTGCTACAATTCAGTCCATTTAGTCAGCCAATCTATTGAGCCCATATACATAATTGTTCCTCCATGAGGAAAAATAGAATTATTTACTTTTAAAAAGCGGAACATAAACCTGTATCCATACTTATCCAAGGATACTGGTTCTAGGGGAAAGACTGCCAGATTCTGTGTTGTGCCAGAAGTTTCAAATCTGCTGTGGCTCTCCATATTCCATCCTTTTATAGATTCAATGAACCAATCATCAATTTCACAAATAGATTTCAGTCTAGAAAAGGAAATAAAATATGTATCTACATAATCAAAATAATGTAGAAGGTGTTAATTGCCTTATGAAAGGTGAAGATGAAGTGCTGTGAGATTGCTTCTAGCAGGAGATGTCGATAAGTGCTCCATCAACAGGAAGGATACTATCAGGTCTATGAGGATGATGGGAATAAAATAGGTAGAATGATGGAGAAACAGTATTGCCAAGGAAGATTTAAAAATGTATTGTTTGGAGGACAGAAGAGTTAAAACAGCTCAATTTGGTAGGAGTACAGGGAGTTGGAGTTCAAGACAAAAAATGTAAACATTGATCATAGTGCAGAGGGAATCAGGCTTCACTGTTGAAAGAGGAGTTTCTATACTTTCTAAGTTAGTGACAAAATAAGCTACCAGTTAATTTTTAAGCCGCATGTATGTAATAACAGGAAAGCCTACCAAATGAATCTTTTACTCAATAGTTTCTTTAATTTTCACCATTCAAGACAGCTCTACAAGGTCCAAGAGGTACCATTAATTTTCATTTCCATAGTCTCTCTTTCCTTTAGAACGGAGTTTTATTGCTTGTGCTGTAGTAGTACTGGAATGTTCCCACTCTGTCTTGGCTGTGTCATGCCATCAACCTAAAAATAGACGCTAATTAACAAGGTTATTTCTAACTTACATTGTTAAGAGAGAGGAAAAACTGTGATGAAACACATATCAAGTATCAAATTAACCAAGGATGGAACCAAATTCGAGTTCAAAATTCCCAGCTCACAGATATTCACTCCACTAAATAGTCTCCCCGTTTTTTCTAAATCAGATAGTCATTATCCAAATTTCCTATCCCTGATGGGACCGTGTTGTGTGAGGGGACATGCCCCAACAGAACACAAATGGACTTTGGAGCATCGATGCTGCATGGAGTGTGTGGAAGGCAAAGCAAATATCTCACTCTATTATCTGTTGTCTCTGAACCAACAGATTACATGGTTCACTGACTAGCTGAATAACTTTTAGACAGTTTGCTCATGTCTATTTACACATATTCCTCAGAAATATATTAACAACTGAGGAACAGCTGTAAAAATTATATGGCGAGACGGATAGAGAGAGCAACAATCTATTCATGTACATTTCTGTGGAGAAGACAAAGTTTAACATGGTAAAGAAAATGTAGAAAAACACACAGACACATTTGTATGTTGTTCCCAATACAAAGTGTGAATTCTATGTAGTAAAAGAGGCAGTCAAATAAAGCACATCATAAAACCTCGTGGAGATGCCTTACATCTCTGTGATATTACTATATTTTTTGTCAGCAATGGGTTTAAGATTGATGTTTGTGCTCCAAAATATTTGACTGGACAGTTGTATTTCTTAATAAGAATATTATTCATATTCACTCAACAGCCATAGAAATAATGAAAGTTTTCTGGTTTATACTTTTAATTAAATAGTGAAATTTTTATTCTCAAATCAGAACTCAATTTTAATCTCATCTCCAAGTCATATATCTCACATCAAAAGATATTATTAACTGATACAAGAAGACTCTCATATCTACTGTAATAAACTTGGTGACTAAGTATTTTGCTTTAAAATTTAGTAGTAGTATTATGTTAAACTTTCTTCAGACAAATACTGCTTATCATTATATAAAATTCCCAACTGAATTTACGTAGGGAAATAGGTGGTTGGACAGCGTTGGGATTCTGTTGCCCTAATATTCACTGGAGAAAAGGCTCAGAAAGTATATAAACTTGGAAAACACTGGTACTACACCTTTTTCCAAAGAATCAAATGCACCATTACGTTCTTCTAGAAGCACTGACTTCCTTTGACTCCCATGGCACTCACTCCCAATTCCCGTGGCTTTGCTCCTTTCTGGCAGTCCTTTATCAATCTCTTCAGCAAAGCCTTCCTCGTCTCATGGCTATGAAATAGTAGAAATCTCCAAGTTTCAATAATTATTTCCTTGCATAGTATACTTTCTCACTAACCAACCAATTCCATTGCTTTAGTTACAAATGATTTTGACTCCTAAAAAAATAGATTTGCTTGGAGCGCCAGATACAAATTACCATTTTTCCACTTGACAGCCCCACTTGAATATCTTCTCTAATTCAAGTGTCAGAAGATCCACAAACCCCAGTTCCAACCTGACCTTCCTTCAGTTCCCTATTCCAAGGATGACACCCTCATCCTTCCAGTGATACAGGTCAGAAGAACCCCAGCATTCACCTCTGACACCTCAGTCTTTCCCATTTCCTATACCCAGTCTATTTCAAACTACATTTTTATTCTTTCATATCAGTCTTCTATTTCCACCACCATTGCCACAATGAACCATCTCTCATTGGATTTCTGCAGGTGACTCCTAACTAATTTCCCCATTGCATACCCTATAATATAGTAAAAATAATATATATTTTTCAATAATATTGTATTGAAAGCTCATTTGTGAATCGCCTGCTTAAAACTCTAAAATACTAACCAAGATCTTGCTTGTTGTGTCTCTCCAGCCACATCTATGCCCTTTCTGTCCCACTACAGTTCTCCAGCCAAGTTCTCATTGGCACCACCCACTCCCGCACACACCCCTTGTAGCTTTGTATGCACTGTTCTCTGCCTGCAATGCTAGCCCCTCTCTGTCCCGTTATTATATTTTTTTTAAGTTTTTTTTTCATACAAGTGCTGGGGTACAGGTCAGATGCGCAGGAGGGTGAGAGGATTCACCAGAGACAGAGCGGGGAACAGAGCAGGCAGACTGATGAAACACACTGCTGAGGGGAGCAACAGGCATGACAGGAGAGGTCTGCCCTGCCATGTGGGATTCTCGGCGGCTGGCTGGGATCGAACCCGCACTGCAGAGGCTGCGGACAGCTTTACAATGCGGCACTCAACTGCCTGCGCCACCAGGGAGGCCTTATTATTTTTATTTCGCAGGCATCACTTCCATGGGGAAACTTTCCCTGACCACCTTTCTTTCTCTTACCCCATCCCCAGGCCACCCAGACTGAGTCGGGGCTCCTTATACATTCTGAGAGTTTCCCATGTCTTTCTTCTCACAATGTATCAAAGTCAGAAATTAAATATGTATGTTATTATTTGAGTAACTTCTAATACCTCTTCCATTTTTCCATGAGCTCCATTTGGTCAAAAAATGAGTTCTCTTTCCTGATTAGTGTATCCTCATGCCTAACATAGCATCTGGCTCGAGGTGGAATAAATGAAGCAGTAGGAAGTGAAGCTAGAAAGATAAAGCATGGGCTAGTTTATGAATAAAAAGAGATTTCTAACTGATGTCCCGTTTTGCAATAACTTTTCACTCTTCCCTTTGCTTCTATCATCCTAAAGCACAAGAATGTGGGAAAACTTTATAAGCAATAAAGCACTCACATTAAAATCGTCATAATTATTATTATATCTGTCACTCAAAAATCTTTGACCTTCACAACAAGGTCCTCCATGATCTGACTTCAGCCTATTTTTCCAACTTCTTCTAACACTGCAGCCCACATAAACACAAAGTCTCAACTATATTGCAAGGTAGCAGGGAAAATAGCATATTTAACTGTGATATACTGCTAAGAGTACTATACAATTTACACAATTCCTCAAACACAGCCAGTCTCCACACCTGTGCTCCTGCATCATGAACCGTTTCCACAACAGCCCTTCCTGTTTACTGCATACCCTCTGCAAGTCTTTGTACTCTTTGAGTTTCATAAAGGTACAGCTCAAAATCCTTCTCTTCTAGTAAGTTTCCTATTTTGTATCAATTGTAATTACATAGATTTGCTTTTCTCCTCTGTTGTACTATGAACTCATTAAGGGGTATCTTATTCATTCGTGTGAATGAACTGATGGATGCAGAAAGAATTCCCTTAAGATGAACTGGACTAAAGTCCAGCACTGAGATGGCCAAGTCCTGGGTTAACTGTGACTAGGAGGTAAAAGACAGCAAACAGGGACAACCAGGTTGCCAAAGAGGAGGACCATTTCCTATTACTTGAAGTCCCCAAGGCTGAAAATGTACTTATTAAGCTAGCCTCAACATTATACATGCTAGGCCAAATGCTGTCTCTCCTATTGATTTTCAGATTCTACAATCAACATACTTCAAACCATCTCTAAAGTGCAAACCTTATGTTTTGTGCCTAGAGCATACTCTCAGTTCCATGAAAGATAATACTTCTGAGGAGCCAAAGAAATTTTACTATAATTATTACTGAAAGGGTTACCTTCCAGTACTAACAAACCAATAAGCAACAAAAATAACAGGATTATCATAATGTTCCAGAACATGAACATCAGCTTATCTGTGTACCCAGTGCCTAGTGAAGCTAAGTATTCTCTGCCATGTGAACCAGACTTTCTTAAACTCTCTCATAGTTTGCAAAACCCAAATTGTAATCCAGCCTCTTGATGCTCCACTTAAATCCATGAACTAAGATGTCTAGTCTATTGTTGAAATGTCATAAGTCAATTTTGGGATGGAGAAAGCAGGGTAACCAAACAATCTTTAGACATTCCAGTTTTCTCATCAAGATCTAGTTAAATTAAACCTGCAGATTAAAGCAAAGATTTCTTTCTGTCTTTTTGTTTAACTAGGCAGCTCTCCCTTCATGATACCCATAATTTAGATCACTTAGAACACAGTCAAAAAAATCCACAAGTGTTTATAACTCCATTGCTATAAGTTGTTCTTTGTTCAAGAGGTTATCAAGAAATTGCTAAAAGGCAGAAATAAATTATTCTACGTTAGACAAGAAAACCTAATATATCCACAGATATCCACCCCAACTTCGCTGTTCTATCTGGTACCCACTAATCCAGTATTCATACTTTTCTCTTTGGTCTAAATACCAGTGAATTTTCTTCCTGTAAACAGAAATCATATGAAGAAGACATTCCGATCAAAAATGCAAGTGATTTCCAAGCCTTCTTTTAATGCAAATAAATAAATACTGCTCTTCATTTCTGATCTGGTTACTTAAATCCAAGTTTTAAAAGCAAGTTCCAAGACTAATTACCTTCCTTTTACTGCTCTGTTGCCAAAGCTGCAGTCACTGAGGATAATCTTCAGAAGCTTGGCTTTGTTGCTAGAGCAACCAGCCCAACTTTAAACATTTTTCAATATCTTTCTTTGAAGTATTTTAAATAACAGTAAGATATAACTGATCTAGTCCATCGTAACAAGTGCTAAGCTCTTTTTTACAAATCTGATCTAGTTATAAGAAAATTCAGAACCCAGTCTAGTAGGGATTGAAACCACAAACACTCTTTGTGTCGAAATTGCATGGCATGTACCAGCTTCAGGCCAGCAGCCATGTCCCCTGGGTGAGTGGTCACAATCAAAAGGAAAAGGCTGACAAGAAAATTTCTGCTTCTTCCAACTCACACCCTCCAGTCATCTCAGAATTTAAATGCATCACAGACCAATTTTACAATGCTCTGTATTTCTGTTTAATTGTATCAGGAGAGAAGATTTCAAACCTTTCATCGAATATTAAGAAACTAGAGTATCTCTAGCCAAATGTCTTAGCAAATCAGCAATATTAAGCTCTCTGCTACCACTCACTACTTTTGAATATATTTTTATTTAATTGTTCTATGTTATATTAAGAATTCTAAC